TGAAGGTTGCAAGGCAACATACTTGGAGGTTCATGGGTACTTAAAACTGGGGTTAGAAGCCGGGTAACTATGATGATAACCTTGCTTAGGGTACTCATAACCCTACTTAAAACTACCCGCGAAGCTCCAAGTAGCCCTAAACCCTAAACCCTAAACCCTAAACCCTAAACCCGAAACCCGTTTCGTGCAGCACAGCCTCCCATTGAAAACTGCGTTTAGGCCGAAGCCTCCCTCCCCGCCCTGCTGGCCGCGTGCGCGCTCGCGCGCCGGCCGCCGGTGCTTACACTGCCTGGGCCTTGGGTGTGCTTAGGGTTTAGGGTTTAGGGCTTAGGGCTTAGGGTTTCGGATGTTGGGTTTCGGATGTGGGCTTAGGGTCTACAGGGTTTGGGCTTTGGGGTTTGGGGTTTAGGGTTTGGGGTTTAGGGGTGTTAGGGGTGTTAGAGGTGTTAGAGGTGTTAGGGGTGTTAGGCGTGTTAGGGGTGTTAGGCGTGTTAGGGGTGTTAGGGGTGTTAGGGGTGTTAGAGGTGTTAGGGGTGTTAGGCGTGTTAGGGGTGTTAGGGGTGTTAGGGGTGTTAGAGGTGTTAGGGGTGTTAGGGGTGTTAGGGGTGTTAGGGTTCAGGGTGTTAGGGTGTTCAGGTTTCGGGTTTAGGTTCAAGGCCCAGGTTGGCGGTTCAGGGTTTGTAGGTTCTAGGGTGTAGGGTTTAGGCTGTTAGGGGCTAGGGCGTTAGGGGTTTTGGGGTGTCAGGGTTTAGGGGTTTTGGGGGTTTAGGGTAGAGTTGGCGCAAAGCTGACAAGGGTAATGGGCCATTGTTGTGGTTTACTTTTTTCAGCAAGAGGGTTTGCGTAGTTGCATAGTGTTTTCAATCTTACTCTAGATCCTACTCCCTCTCACCGCTTGAAGCAGCACTAAGCCCAAACCCTAAACCCCAAGGCATAAACCCGAAGCCTGAAGCCCGCAGGTGTCAGGCAGACGCCCTGCTCAAGCGCGTGGCCTCGTTGGAGGCGATCTGGCCATCTGAGGGGGGGTCTACATCCACTGTGAGGGTTTAGGAGTGTATAAGTGTAGGGGCTTAGGGCTTGGGGGGGGGGGGGGGGGGGGGGGGTCAGGAATCTTTAGGCACCGGGGTTCTGTAGGGTTCATTGGGGATTCTTGTGTTTTCGTTAGGGTGCTTTTACCCTCGTTAGGGTACTGTACTTCACAGGGTTCCTCAGAGTTTATAGGGTTTATGGGTTTAGGCCTAAACTCTAAACCCTAAACCCTAAACTCTGAACTCTAAACCCTAAACCCTAAGCCCTAAACCCTAAACCCTAAACCCTGGGACCGCTTGCATAAACCCTAAACCCTAAACCCTAAACCCTAAACCCTAAACCCTAAACCCTAAACCCTAAACCCTGAACCCTGAACCCTGAACCCTGAACCCTGAACCCTGAACCCTAAACCCTGAACCCTGAACCCTGAACCCTAAACCCTAAACCCTAAACCCGAATTCGGGGTTCAAGGCCTAGGGTTTTGCATGTCTCTCGGACCCTGCGCCCGGTCAACTCTGAAGTTGATTTTTCGTTTCTCACCAGGCACGCTTCCCAGTCTTGAGCCGTAAGCCCTACAGAGCTGATCTAGGGTTTAGGGTTTAGGGTTTAGGGTTTAGGGTTTAGGGTTTATGGTTTAGGGTTTAGGGTTTAGGGTTTAGGGTTTAGGGTGTTACCACGAAGCTTTAAAAGCTCCTATAAAGCCTGAAGCCGACGCTTCAGGTGTCGTCCTGGTGCCCCGTGCCCCGCCGGGGTTCCCTCGCCTTGTCGACGGCTTTGGTGCGATTGCTGAGGTGCCCCTTGGGTGCGGGTTTTTTTTGGGGTTGGGGTTGGGATGTTCCCCCCTTACACTAACAGTCCTTAATAGGGGTCATAGTACCCCCTACTATAGTCCCCATTAATTAAGGACTGTTAGTGTAAGGGGGAACAACCCAAGGCTAGGGGCTCACAATTAGGGTTTCGGGTTTAGGGATTTCAGGTCCATTTTGGGTTGCCCTTTTTGCAAGGGGTGGGGGCAGTTCACCTTACGGGTACCCCCCCAATGTAGAACAATCCCAGAGGGGGTGCTAGATGGTTCCTGAGAGCCCTAAACACAAGCACTACACGAAAAGAGATCATCATCTAAATAAAGGCCACAAGCCCCTCCTCCTCTGAAGGAGACCTCCAAACGGTCTTCGACACGTGTGAAACAGTTGCATGCAGGCCGCCCAATGCCGTCGATTAGGGAATTACCTCAAAGTGTATTTAGAACTTTGCGAGGACGAATGAAGGACTGTACTTTGAAATCTTCTGAATCCTATTCTGATTCCGTGTTGCAGCACTTCCCGCGTTTTGGGGCATTGGACCCTAAACCCTAAACCCTAAACCCTATACCCTAAACCCTAAACCCTAAACCCCAAGAACAGGGGGGCACCTCTCACCCCTCCCTGGCAGGCTCCCCGAGGCGGAGCCGGCGCTGCGCGCGGCCCTGCGCAGCGGCGACGCGAAAATCGAGCTGGGCGCGCTCACGGCGCCCCAGCCATGGTTTTTTGAGGGGTTTCAGGGGGGTTGGGGGTTTTAGGGGGGTTTTGGAGGGTTTTGGGGGGTTTCAGGGAGGTTTTGGGGGGGGTTTAGGAGGGTTTTAGGGTTTAGGGTTCAGGGTCCCTCCCATAGTTTTTGTCGAGGGTCGAAGATGGATGTAAGGTTTGTGGGGTTAAGGAAGGTTTAGAGGGTTTAGGGTTTAGGGTTTGGTAGCGGCTATTCATATGTGTTGTCTTGCTTTGTTGGTGCTTTGCTCTTTGTTGGAGTTGTTGTTGTGGTTGTTGTCGTCACAGCATGTTTTCGGTGTTGAGATGTTGGGCAGATGTGAGCCACAAAGAAAGACATGAAAGTCCAGAACCCAAAGAGCCCAATACCCCTTAATCGAGGTGATCCTTATGTTCTCTAATTACGGGTATAGGGCTGGGAAGCAACTACAGCACTACACACCATTAGCATATACTTGTAGCTCAGGTTTCCTAAAGCTTGGTAGCAATTTCTGAGTACTTAGTAGGTATATCTCGGGTATAGCGGAGGCCTTGAGATGTTCCCCATTATGCTACCAGTCCTCAATAGGGTTTGTAGTCCCCCCTTATGATGATCCCTATCAAGGACTGTTAGTATAAGGGGGAACATCCCAATCCATAACTGTACATCAGAAGAGCTCCCGGGTAGGCTTGAAGGCTTGGGGGTTTGGGTCAGCTTGTTCATTTAGTGTTTCTTGCAGTATTGAAAGTGAACCTACAAGTAGCCCTAAACCCTAAACCCTAAGCCCTAAACCCTACACCCTAAACCCCAAACCCTAAACCCTAAACCCTTTGGGTTGAGGGTTTCGGGAGCTTCGGGTGAATCAAGGAACAGGGGGGGGGACCCTTATAAGGGACTTTAGGGGTTCTTTGGGGCTGTTTTAGGGGTATAGGGGCTGTATAGGGAGGGGAACGAATCTTTTAGGCTTCCTTGGGGTTTATTTCGGGGCTACTTCGGTATAGAGGGACTATATCAGGCACATGCAGGGGTTATATAAAGTCCAAAACCCTAAACCCTAGGGTCCCTGCTAGCGGTCCCTCCTGATATCCCTAGAAGGCTAAACCCTAAACCCTAAACCCTAAACCCTAAACCCTAAACCCTAAACCCTAAACCCTAAACCCTAAAGGTCCTCTGCGGGGCCTCAGACCGCCTGGCATCCTTGTCCCTCGGCTGTGAGGTTGCTTCCTGGGTCCTTTATAGGGTTCAGGGTTTAGGGTTTAGGGTTTAGGGTTTGGGGTTTAGGGTTTAGGGTTTAGGGGTCAGGGTTTAGGGTTTAGGGTTCAGGGTTCAGGGTTCAGGGTTCAGAGTTTTGGGTTTTGGTCTTAGGGAGGGGCTGAGTAGGTGTCTATCGGGACTACATAAGGTAGAGGGGAATAAGATTAAGGGTCCCTTCTAGGAGTCCCCCCCCCCCCCCCCCCTAGAAGGCTAAACCCTAAACCCTAAACCCTAAACCCCCAAACCCCAAACCCCAAACCCCAAACCCTAAACCCTAAACCCTAAACCCTAAACCCTAAACCCTAAACCCTAAACCCTAAACCCTAAACCTAAGTAGCCCCCTAAATGAATCCCCGAAGCACCCCTAAGGAATCCTTTACTTGCTGCTCTGGCGGCCCGAGGATGCCCGTCGCTTTGCCTAGCACCATGGCACCCTCAGGCGCGGCATGTGGGGGAGATTTACGAAAGTAGTAATGGGGTTTAGGGTTTAGGGTTTAGGGTTTAGGGTTTAGGGATTAGGGTTTAGGGTTTAGGGTTTAGGGTTTAATTAGGGTTTAGGGTTTCGGGTTTAGGCTGCTGGTTTCGAGGCAAGTCTTGGGTTTGGGGTGTTAGGGATCATAAGGTCCTGAACCCTATCAGCTTCCCAAACCCTAAACCCCAAACCCTACACCCTAAACCCTAAGCCCTCACATCTTTTTGGGAGCAGAGGCTTCCTGGCAGCTTAGGGTTAAGGGATTAGGGGCTTCAAGGGTTGAAACATGTATCAAGGGAGTCATGCGCGGACCCCTCAGGATGTTCCCCTAAGAGGTTCCCTACATCTACTCCTCATGTGGCCCTCATATTCCCTTAGAGGATCCTACAAAAGGGTCCCCAAACCCAAGGGTACAACCTTAGGGGCCCAAGGGTTTGGGGATTAGGGTTTAGGGTTTAGGGCAAGGTATAGTTTAAAGGGTTCTGATGTATGGGCCCCTTGGGTTGTACAGGGTATCTAAGGGTTACATGAAGGTGTCCCCTTTTTGAGGGCCCAGATTAAGGGGCCATGCAGCTACCCGAAGATGTAGGGGTGACAGCTTCGTTCTTTTGCAACTCACTCAGCTCTAGGCTCTGATCCCTACACCCTAAACCCTAAACCCTAAACCCTAAACCCTAAACCCTAAACCCTAAACCCTAAACCCTAAACCCTAAACCCTAAACCCTAAACTATCGGAAGTAGCATGTTCGCCCGTTCAGAGACCTTTTTGAGGTATTCGTTGCTTCTGTGTCGACCACAACCACCGGCAGTCTCGAGGGTTTAAGGTTTAAGGTTTAGGGTTTAGGGCTCAGGGTTTAGGGTTTAAAGTTTAGGGTTTTGGGTTTAGGGTTTAGGGTTTAGGGATTAGGGTTCTGGGCGGTCCGTCGACAGGACTCAGCCACACTGGGAAAGCACAGGCACTCTGTGATGCCAAAGCGCTGGAGGAGCATCCAGCCAAGCTGGCAGCAGCTAACTTGCGCGGGCGGCTGATGGTTGTGATAGCCGGTGACCCTAAACCCTAAACTCTAAACCCTAAACCCTACACCCTAAACAGGCCGAATCCAGTCTACAAGGAAGCCCAGCGTGTAGCGCTCGCGATGATGCACGCTGCCTTCGGACGACGACATCACGATGCCCAGTGGAGGCTCATCGTCCTGGCATATTATCGTTTCATTCTCCCGGCCCCACTTTCCCAAGACACTCATAGCCTGACAAACGTCGAAGTTGAAGCACCGTAGAGCTCGAAAGAGGGGGCCGATGCTTATAGCGTAGGGCTTGGGTTTTGAGGCAACGGCTGTTGAAGTCGTCAGCGCATGAGCTGTTCACCCTGGCTTAGGGCATGCCCCAGCAGTTAGGGCTTAGGGCTTAGGGTGCTAACTGTGCTAACCCCTAAGCCCCCAAACACCCTGAACCCTAAACTCCTAGACCCTGAACCCTAAACCCTAGACTGTAAAACCTCAAACCCCTAAACCCTAGACCCCTAAGCCCTAAACCTTAAACCCTGCCTAAACCCTAGACCCCTATACCCTAAGCCCATAAACCCTGAATCCCTAAACCCTAAAGTCCTGAAGCCCTAAACCCTTAAACCTCTAATGCCTAGACCCCGAAACCCTAAACCCCTAAACCCCCGAAACCCTAACCCTAAACTTAAACCCGAAGCCCATAAACCCTAAACTTAGACCCTAAACCCCAAACCCTAAACCTTACACCGTAAACCCTTATGGCATTCTATCCTCCCGAGGTGCAATCGGCCTGGTGCTCTCCGTGGAGGTCGGCTCTAGTGGCGGGAGTGTCGCGGCCCGTCGGCCGCATATCATTTTCCCTGAGGGTTTAGGCGGTTTAGGCTTTAGGGTTTAGGGTTAAGGGTTTAGGATACCCATTCTCTCTGCTCCCAACCACCAAACCCGAAGTCCTAAGCCCTAAAGCCTTTAGCTGGCTTGTCAGGTTTCGGGCAGGGGTTTTCCATACTACCCCACTCTATACTTCCTTGCCCTGGCTTCCCCCCATAAAAAACATGGGGAGAACCTGAGTACCTAATTCCAGAAACTAAGAGTTGAGAAGTTGAGATGTACTGGGGTCTCTGGGACAACCCGTGAAGTGAGGAATTTAGGGTTTAGGGTTTAGGTTTTTGGGTTTACTCACACAACACATACCCAAAAGAGAGCAAGATTCTGACTCATTCTCAGATTTCTCAAAGAAAAGTATTGCTGAAGATCCTAACCTTTCACATTTCTTGAAGTGTTCAGCAGTATGGAGAAGCTTACCAAGACCAAACAAACAGCCGAGTTTGCAATATCTTTATGCACGATGTGTTGAAGAGAAAAGTCGCTTTGCAGAAGCGCAAAACCCTAAACCCTTTCTAGGGAACCTGAGTACCTAATTCCAGAAGAGTTGAGAAGTTGAGATGTACTGGGGTCTCTGGGACAACCCTAAACCCCAAACCCTAATCCCTAAACCCTAAATCCCTCAACTTGCGTTGCAATAGTTTCGCTGTTCGAAATTCTGGCGGCATCCCCAAGACACGAAGCCCTACTCCTGAACTGTCGGTTCAGGGTTTAGGGTTTATAAGGGTTGAGCCTAAACCCTAAACCCTGAACCCTAAACCCTAAACCCTTTAGGGTTTTTTGGGCTGTTCTCTGCGTCTGCAAGTTTGCAGCTCACAAGGTCCTCGCGCTCAGCGACGAGGAGGCGAGCCGTGGGTGACCGCGCCAGCAGCCTTTGTAGACTTGGTAGCGTCTTAGGGCTTAGGGCCTTTCGGGTTTAGGGTTAAGTTTTTCTGATAACAAAGCAACTTACCCCCCTCCCCGCACCCCCTCCCCCCAAAAAAAAACACCCTTTCTCTTATGTGGGCACATGGCGACCAAGTAGAACATCTGAGCTTGTCGACAATAAGAGGTCCCTCTATGTGGCTCGAATTCTGAGAGCGAAGTTTCTGATGTTTAGAGTTAAGTGCGAAGGTTGAGGTTTTGAGAATGTTGTTGGCTTTTTCATGCGGCCAAATTATATTATAGGAGAGAGCCCAACAGCCCTCAATTGAGGTTGCGGCGGTTTAGGGTTTAGAAACTAGGGGTTAGGGTTTCAATCTGATGCGGGAGTATTGGGTTCTCTGGGGATAGCCATGTCGGGCGGACTCGTCCGGGTACGTCCAAGTTCGACTTGCCGCAACCGCAATTCCCACTCCTGGGCCCTTTAATGATAACTGTACCTATAATAAGCTAAGTCTCCTGATCCTGAGTCCTCTAAGTAGGTTATAAGTCGACTTAGAATTGGGGTCAGAAGTACCCATGAACCTCCAAGTAGGAATCCATACGCCCGAGAACCCTGGCACCCCCAAAACTAGAGCTTGGACTGCAGGAGCGTGTGCTCCGCCTGGCGACAGGCGCATGTGGGATGGCTGTGTGTGTAGCAAACCTCTTCATCTCAAGCCTGACACCCTAAACCCTATAAACCCTGTAAACCCTATAAACCCTATAAGCCCTATAAACCCCATAAACCCTATAAGCCCTATAAACCCTATAAACCCTATAAACCCTATAAGCCCTACAAGCCCTAAGCACCAAACCCTATCTGAAGCTTGCGAGGGTTTGGAGGGACTTGGGGCTTTTGGGGAGATTTGGGGTTTGGGGTTTCAGGGTTCAGAGTTTAGGGCTTGGAGGTTCTAGTCTCCGGGCCGTTTTCGGGATTTTGGGCCTTAGGGCCTTAGGGCCTTCGAGTTTCAGAGCGGCTGGAGCCCAAACCTTCATGCTTGCACTGAAGCCGAAAACCCGAAACCCATGGACACTAGACTATCATCGGGCATGTTTCGATGGGGGCAATGGGGGGGGGGGGGGGGGGCTGAAAGGGAGAATCCAGGCGGTTTTGCGGGCGCAAGGCTTAACCCTAAACCCTAAACCGTGGAAAAATCCTACACCGGCCCTATAAACCCAAAACCCTAAACCCTAAACCCTAATAAACCCTAAACTGCAAGAAATCCTAAACCCTACAAGCCCCAGAAGAAGGAGACCTGCGACCGCTGCCTACACAGCTACCCCCCAGTGAGGCCGGGCCTCGGGCTTGGGGTAGAGCGTTTGGGGTTTGGGGTTTAGGGTTCAGGGTTTGGGGTTTGGGGTTTCGGGTTTGGGGCGGTTTAAGGGTTCCGGGTTTGGGGTTTCGGGTTTCGGGTTTAGGGTTTGGAGCTTCCTGGGATTGTCGCGCACGAGTTCGCAGGACTTGCTCGATGCGGTGGCCTCGCTGCTGGGCTGAACATCAGTCCACAACACCACACAATAGGCCCCCTGAACTCCAGGCCCTCTCCCTAATGCCGCAAATGCCTGTACATCCCATAAATCCTCCCCATACATCCTACAATAAGTAAAGGGACTTCAGTGGGATTCCGAAGCAGGGAACCCAAGAACATAGCAGGAATATAATCGCAAGATACCTACCAGGGTCCTTATATACCGTCTATATCCTGCCCAACACCAAGAACCTCGATCCCAAGTCGCCGAATTCGCCTAACAGAGCTTAACGCTCCTTATGTAAGTAAGATATAAGAAACAGCATGTTGAGATCAGTTTGGGCTCCCTGGTAGACCATGAACGTAACTTCCTGAGTTCAGGGCTGTTGAGCTCTCGGGGCATTTGGTGTCGGGCTTTAGCTTCAGGTCATTGGAATTTAGGTGAGTTTGTTTCCAACATGAAATGCCCCTACTACAGCCCAAACTACGCGAATCGTTACACAGATCCAAACAAAGGACCACCCCCATTTTCGGAAACACCTTTGAACTCTTTGAGTACAGGGTCAAGAGCCTAAATCTACGCACTTTCTGGCATTTGGGTTCGCTTTTGACGTCCCTTTTCGGTACGGCACCTTGTAAACAAGGATCCCAAAGGAAGGGACCGTATTGTAGAGAACTACCCACATCCTAAACCAACCCTTAAACCCTTTGGCCCTCCAGAAGCCGTGCTTACAGGGTTTAAAGTCTGAATCTTACTGGTTGTAAGTAGGAAGTTAAGAAAAAAGTCAAGTTCCCTATATTATGTCGTCGTTACCGGGTGGTCCCTAATTCCCTAGCACACGAAGCCCTAAACCCTAAACCCTAAACCCTAAACCCTAAACCCTAAACCCTAAACCCTAAACCCTAAACCCTAAACCCTTGAGGCCCTGAAAGCCCTCAAAAGCCCTGCAAGCCCAGGCTCGCCATCGTTGGCAGGGTCAATGTGAATCCAAAGGCGGCTGGGGGCCAACAAAAACCTATCTGGATGTTTTAGGGCGTTTTGTTTTAGCGTTTTGGGTTTTAGGGCTGCAGGTTTAGGGCCAGGGTAGTAAAGCATAAAACCAAAACCCTACACCGTAGTACCCCAAGTCGGGATTCGAGGGGGATCCAGATCATTCCATGGTACTACGAGTGGACGTTTTGGGCTAGGCCCTGCTCCCTTGGAAGTTGCAGCGGGCCAGAGATCTATATACTCTAAACCCTACAAGCCCGAAACCCTGAACTCTAAACCTTAGACCTAAACCCGAAACCCTAGACCATGGACCCGAAGCACGGTTGCAGCAAGGACCCAAGAACCTCCAAGTAGGGTGTAAGGGTTGAAACCTGAGAGTCTCCGGGGGTCTCCGCGTGTCTTCAGTCTGTCCCTGAGTTGCTGAGTTCAGGGTTCGGGGTTTAGGGTTTAGGGCTAGGGTTTAGGGTTTATGGGTTGAGGGCTGAGGCGTCCTGGGGATGAATGGGTAACCCCAAACACTCCTCAATAATGGGCTTCGTTTCGTTCGGTGGGAAGGGTTAGCAACTCAGGGTTTAGGGTTTAGGGTTTAGGGTTTAGGGTTTAGGGCTCAGGGTTTAGGGTTTAGGGTTTGGGGTTTAGGGTTTAGGGTTTAGGGTTTGGGATGTAAAGACACGTGCGGGCGTGAAAGCTGTTGCAAGTTTCGGGGGCCCCCGAGTTTTTTCCCCTAAACCCTAAACCGCAAACCCTGAACCCTAAAGCCTAAACCCTGAACCCTGAACCCTAAAGGCTAAACCCTGAACCCTAAACCCTAAACCCTAAACCCTAAACCCTAAACCCTAAACCCTAAACCCTAAACCCTAAGCCCACCCAAGAACCTTACACACCTCCCAAAAACCAGCCCCAGGAGTTGATTGAGAAGATCTTCCTGGAGAGATGGCTGGGCGCGCTGGATGTGCTTTTGCAGTCGACCCTCGCAGAAAATCGTGACTTTAGGGTTCAGGGTTTAGAGTTTGGGGTTCAGGGTTTAGGGTTCGGGGTTTAGAGTTTGGGGTTTGGGGTTTAGGGTTCAGGGTTTAGAGTTTGGGGTTTAGGGTTTAGGGGTCTCTAGAGGTACCCCTTTTGCTCCTTTTTTTGGGGGGATTCAAGGTTCCCTTCCAAAGTAGCCGACCGCCCATGTAGGGTACCCTTATCATTATATGGTCCCTTAGTATGGTCCAATTTCTGAAGTGCAGGCACTTGGGTTTTTGTAGGATATTTATATACATATATATAGGGGAAATTATGTAGGAGCTCCCAAACTAAGGGTCAGCATTTAATCATTTAAGGGTGGCAAGTGTGACCAGCCTAAGCGCAGTGCTGAGGACGCCTCGGGGTAGCCCTGCAGTTCATCATCCGGAGATCGTCTCTGTGCCTTGGCACAGAGAGGGAGCAGAGCGCCTGCTGGGCAGTAGATGCTGTAGGGTTGGGATGTTATACTAACAGCCCTGAATTCTCAATATTCCTTCGAAAGACTGTTAGTACAAGGGGGAACATCTTAACTGGGCTTTGGGGGGTTGGGGTGTGTTTGTAAACATGCATGGAGTGCAAGGAACAAAGATAGCAGGTTGTAAGTCGTCACGGTTTTGCTCATGCATGTTTTTTGCGTTTGTTGTTGATTGCCTGGCTGCTGCTAAAGCATGAGGGGATGGTTTCTTCATTCAAATTCGGAATAATCTTCAAAACCACAGACATCTTGCATTTGCTCTCTTGGAACAGATGCAACTTCAACCATGGCATTTGTCTTTGCGATTGCAATGAAAAATAGTTTGAGACAACCCGCACGATAAATTCGACGACGCGCGTGGAGGGTTTAGGGACACAGGCAATGCATTTAATGTTCAGACCCGATCCTCCAGGTCCACGTAGTCGCTATGTGATGATGCCGATGATGCTGATGCTCATGTTGCTTGCGCCCAACAACGGGCCCTTTTCGCCCCCCCCCCGCCTAAACCCTAAACCCTAAACCCTAAACCCTAAACCCTAAACCCTAAACCCTAAACCCTAAACCCTAAACCCTAAACCCTAAACCCCCGCAGGGCACATAGCCCTGCGATGCCGTGGGGTGCCTTTTTTGCCCCACGATGCTTTTATTCTTTCAAGAAATTGCCCCTGTATGGAGATGGTTTTCCCGAGCCCAAACCACCGGTTAAGTTATATATATATATATATTATTTATATTTAATTTGTATTTATATGTTTATTTATATTTATTTGTTTATATTTATATTTATATTTATTTATTTACTGAGCATGCCGAGATCATGGGTCACCTGGAGGACGCCATGCGGATCATACTAGGGCACCCTTTGTTCACTGGCATCATGACCAAAGAACCGCTGGGCATTGCTCAGGGTGGCCGGGAGGCCGACGGGCGAAGCAGCCAAATCCCCTCACAAAACCAGGGCCCCTCACACTTTCCCCGGAGTCAGGAGGAGTGTTCTAAGCAGAGCGCGCGCAGTGCAGCTAGCCTAGCCGCTCTGCCTGCCAGGGCGCCCGGGACTGCAGAGAGCCTGGGGTATCACTGGAACCCCCCCCAGCCCTGGGGTATGCCGCACCAGTGTTTTCACATGTTTTTTTTTCGGGTGTTTTGCTCTTTTTGTTGGTTTTGGCTGTGATTTTCCCTCAGGTTGGTGTTTCAAATGCCCCTAAACCCTACACCCCCTAAACCGTTAACCCTAAACCCTAATAAACCCTAAACCGACACTAACTACTCTAGGAAATGTGTCGCCCGACTTTGGTCACTAAAACGACACGTCCCTAAACCCTCGTGGGTTGTCTCAAACTGTTTTTTGATTGCGATCGCAAAGACAAATGCCATGGTTGAAGCTGCATCTGTTCCAAGAGAGCAAATTTGAAGAAACATGCAAGATGTCTGTGGTTTTGAAGATTATTCCGAATTTGAATGAAGAAAACATCCGGACCCTCATCCCCTCATGCTTGCGCAGCAGTCAGTTGCAGGGACTGGGGTTTTGAGTCTAGAGCTTAATACGTACCGGCTATTTCATTGCGACTCCGATTTTCCAGTCTTCTACTTCGGAGGCTCCTGCAGCAACTTGCTGACCCTTAAACACCCGGCACCGCAGAGAGCGCAGACACCGCAGACACAGGTTTAGTCTTTCGAATTTAGGGCCCAGACTTTCTCTTCCTAGTAGTAGAGTAGGTAACCTTTAACCTTTTTGGGGTAGTAGAATCCCCCTATAATCCCAAAGGTTAACCTTTAATTTCCCCAGGTTGCTGGACAAACAGGTCTTGGTTCGTTCCATGGATAGGCTAGGGCTGTTCAGGATTTAAGTTGCGGCCTTGTTGGTATACCCAGGTGTCTTAAGATGCCGGGTTGTTTGGCTTTTCGCTGCGTAGACGCAGGGTTTTCGTTTAGGGTTTAGGGTTTAGGGTTTAGGGTTTAGGGTTTAGGGTTTAGGGTTTAGGGTTTAGGGTTTAGGGTTTAGGACCACTTAGGGTTTTAGGGCTCGGAAGGACCCTGCATCCAGGCTACGCAGGCATGCGCCTGGCAGCAATTTGCACACAAGCCCCATAGCAAGAAGTAGAACCCTAAACCGTAAACCCTAAACCCTAGAGTACAAATGCTACAAGTGCCGGGACCCCATTCCCCAAACCCTCAAAACCCAAGCCAAGCCCTAAACTCTGTTTAGGGTTTAGGGTTTAGGGTTTAGGGTTTAGGGTTTAGGGTTTAGGGTTTAGGGTTTAGGGTTTAATTAGGGTGATCTGGGGGATCTAGGGTTCCTCTCAAGTGGTTTAAGTTTAGGGGCTCAAGGCGTTGGCGAAGACCTTAGTCTTCGCGGAGGAAGGTGACGTCCCCGAGGACACAAGGACGCAACGCACCAGCCAGGGTCAGGAAGAAGCCCCCCCCCACACCCTTGAAGACCCATTCCTCACCCATTCACCCCAAGTATGGCACCAAGCCCTCCCGAAAGGTTTGGAGGGTTTCGGGTTCAGGTTCCCAAAACCCTAAAACCCGACAGCTTGGTTTAGGGTTTTGGGTTTAGGCTTCACGGTGTTCCCGGAACCCTAAAACTCTCAGAGCACAGACGCCTAGACCCCTCAAGACCCGGCACCCAGACGTTTAACACTCGACGCACCATGAGACCCTTGCACATCCCCAAACCAAAAGAGCATAGAGTCTTCCTTGTGGACGGTTCCCTAAGTTAAGATCCCTTTTTGGGTTCCGATCAAAATGCGAAGCCTTAGGTTTAGGGTACTCACAAAAGGCCCGTGATTCATAGAATCGAGAATCTCCCAGGTGCGTTTCTTGACTAAGGGGTGTAAGGTTTACGGTTTTCAGAGCTGGGTTAAAAAGGCTTCTGGATGTCGGGTGTTCCATAGTCCCTGCGAGTTAAGCATCGCAGGTGCGAAAAGGCGGTGCATGCTGGACTTGTAAACAGGGTGTAGGGTACTAGTACTGTACTAGTCTACCCTGAGCGAGCGCAGGAGATTGAAGACAACAGCGCCTGGAGATTTGGAGCTTCGCGTGGGCTTACGCCGCAACTGGGCTGAAGCAGCGCTGGCAGACCTTCACGGTAGAGCTGCTCACGAAACGGTAGGGGAGGCCGACAGTTTCGTGAAGCGCATTGCTAGGATTGTTTGTTGCAGCTGCAATCCGTCAGCAGAGGAGTGACTGGAAGCCACCTCGAGGGAAGTTGTAGCCCGCTTCTTGAGCGCTTCTCTTCGCACCATTGGCCTGGGGTGGGGCTCCGCTGATGCCCCTGACCACCTTTGAGCCACGAGCTTCAGGGCTTATAAGCGTATGACGGCACGGCGGACCTATGAGCTCATGCGGGGTGGTCTGTGGTTGTTGACATCACAGAAGATAGGCGAGGCCCGCCCAAGGCCCTCAAATTGCCATAAACTGCCCTACCCGAAACCAGGCCGCTAAACCGGCTAAACCCTCCTCCTTGGACTGTCAACCTTAAATTCCGATCAGTCCACGTATGTGTATGTGTATATATGTAATATAATATATGCATATATATATACACACACACTAGCATAAGCATAATACTGCTTATAATCGTACATATTCATATTTTGTGATATGATCTGATGTAATATGATATGATAAGAATCCTTCGCTCACTCGAAAAGCCCTCCAGTTGAGGTATTTTCCAGCCGGACGCCAAAGCCGCGTCGCCGGCACTCTCCCCGACGAACTCGCGCAGTGGCCCGACTTTTAGGGTTTAGGGTTTCGGGTTTAGGGTTTAGGGTTAGGGGTTTAGGCTTTGAGCCCGAAGGTTTGCACCGATATTCCATGAATCCCAATTAAGAACCAGTAGGTTTTAGGTCCCCGAAACCTGTGTTCACCTTGACCACCCAGTCTGGCAGGCAAAGGTATTGTGGGAACTTCGAGTATCTTAGGGGGGGGTTCTAGGTTAACCCTATAGCGCTGTAAGCCCTTTAAGGTGCCCAAACTTTAACCCTAGACCCTAGACCCTAAACCCTAAACCCCAAACCCTAAACCCTAAACCCTAAACCCTAAACCCCAACTTCCCCTCCCAGATGACCTCGGGGTCACGGTCGCCTGCTCGGCCGGACATCGTCTCGTTTCAGACCTGCAGGCTGGGAGCCGAAATTTGGGGCTGAAGGTTTATAGGGGGGTGGGGTGGGGGGGGATTCTTTTGAGCCTTGCACCCTAAACCCTAAACCCCAAACCCTAAACCCTAAACCCTAAACCCTACTTTGTAGGTCTCGCGGAGTGTGGCGTGTGCGCCTTTTCGGCTGTTAACTTAAGCTACCCAGCCATGCTAAAGAGGAGCCGGCTTGACATCCTGGGGTTACTGGTAAGTGGCAATTCAGGTTTAGGGTTTAGGGTTTAGGGTTTAGGGTTTAGGGTTTAGGGTTTAGGGTTGGGGTTCACATGCCCATCTTTGACACAGGTGAACAACTCTTGCGACTTCTGTGCGACCCTCAGTGTCGGGTGTATGACTACAAGGTAACTTAGGCTCAGGATGTATCCTACAAACCCTAAACCCTAAACCCTAAACCCTAAACCCTAAACCCTAAACCCTAAGGAAGACCTAGGAGCCCTTGTTGACGAGCCCTTATCTTAATAGGGCGCCATGTAAGGACTACAGAAGGATGATCGATGTGTTCTTCTTATCGGGTTCCAGAATGCTAATCCCAAAGCTCTTCACAGCTTCCAGCAGTGCGTTGCAAGACTGCAAAGTAGGGAAAAGGCTGAACGGCTCCGACCCCAAACGTCACCCTGTTACTCTACCTCGAGCAGCACGAACCTTTTAACTGCAATTCCATCCCCCTGTGTAGCATAGTATTAGATGTCCCCCTGCTCCAAACAATAACACAAGGGCCCATAGTATGATACCCCGAACCCTAAACCCTAAACTCTAGAGTGATTTTTGCTCTCCCTGCTTTTGAGCTCCCTGAGGCCTCAGCTGTTCGCCCGAGCTACCCAGGGAGCCCCCTCAATACCCTGCAACTAAGGCACCTTAAAGGGCATCGAGAGCTCTGCTACAACTTAAGGTCTGTTCCTAACTCAAGTGGTATCTTACTAGGCCTGTACGGGGAATTCGGGAAGGCAGGGCCCAACATCCCCCCCTGTATGGCTCTGAAAGAGACTATACAGGGCGCCCCTCCTTCCCCCCCCCCCCCGTTCCCGAATGCCCTAGGAACCCGTAAGACCCTAAACCCCAAACCCTAAACCCTAGCCCTAAACCCTAAACCCTAACTATTGGGATCTTTAAGCTGGCTGTTAGGCTACGAGCACCGGACTCACTTCCGATGTGCGCGTTGCGACTTCGATCTCTGCGCTCGCTGCTGGGAGGACCTGCGGAGGGGGGGGGGGGGTGAGGGGTGTTGCGGCATACAAAGGGTTTAGGGTTTAGGGTTTAGGGTTTAGGGTTTAGGGTTTAGGGTTTAGGGTTTAGGGTTTAGGCTCAGCCATACATACCAAAAAGCCTAACTCCCTGATCCCGAAACCTTCATGAACAAATCGAGAGATGTATCTCAAGGGCTTCAGGCACCCAGCAAGACCTGCTCCCCACGTGCCATTGTAGAATAAACCCTAAAACCCTAAAACCCTAAAATCCTAAAACCCTAAAACCCTAAACCCTATAAGCCGTGCACCCTTAGCCACTTTCTACCCTGGAAGTTCACTCACCTCCTCTGGCATAACAATGCGATGGACGACCTGCAGGAGAGGAGGCGAGACGAGATGAACACAGGACCCAAGCTGCGGTGTTTTTGGGCGGTTTAGGGTTTCGGGATATTGGGGTTGAGGGTCTGGGGCTAAGGGTTTGGGGTTTAGGGTTAGGGTTATGGGGTTTAGGGCTAGGTGGTTTAGGGTATGGGATTTTTAAGAGGGTTGTGAGCCTTGGGTCAGGGTCCCCCTCCCCTTAGGGTTTAGGGTTTAGGGTTTAGGGTTTAGGGTTTGGGGTTTGGGGTTTGGGGTTTAGGGTATTTGGGTTTATGACAGTAAGAGGGTACTCAGAAAGAGCCCAAGCGCTCCCTGAATCCGAGTCTGCGCCCAAGCCCACCTTTTCTGGCGCTAAGGCCTCTTCAAGGGTTTTTTCTGTGGGTACAGGGCCATTACTGAGCCCTAGAACTTATCCCTAAACCCTATAGAGCCCTCCAGGGATAGCTCTGGCGATCATCGGCCGCCATCGAAGCAGCAGCAAAACCGCCGTCGCCCTAAGCCACTGGGATGCAAAAGGGTTTAGGGTTTTGGGTTTCGGGTTTAGGGTTTAGGAGGGTAGTTTCCTTCGGATGTGTGTTTTATGTTAGGTCATATAAAGCAAAGCCCAAGGGAACACAACATGTAATAGTAAATTGTACAGTAGTTGGCTTTGGACGAGTAGTGGTTTTGTAGTGGTGGCATACCTTGGGGACTCACTGAAGTCCATCGGTGTTGAAGGTACAACAGCGATCCCAGTTTCTCGGCTCATTGACCCTTCATCCCTCTACTGACACCCTACTCTCGAACTCTCTAAGCCTTAAACCTTAAACCCTAAACTCCCAATTCATGTCTATAGTACCAGACGTCGCAGGCTCTGCCGCAGTCGCCGCAGCCGCAGCAGCCGCAGCAGCAGCAGCAGCAGCGGCAGCGGCAGCGGCAGCGGCAGCGGCAGCGGCAGCGGCAGCGGCAGCGGCAGCGGCAGCGGCAGCGGCAGCGGCAGCGGCAGCGGCAGCGGCAGCAGCAGCAGCAGCAGCAGCAGCAGCAGCAGCAGCAGCAGCCGCCAACCCCAAAAACACCTATACGTCAGCCGTGAACCGCCCTCTGAACTCTTCAAACCATAATAAACACCATAAACCCTATGAAAACTCCTATCAAAACAAAACCCTAAGACCCCAAGACCCGAAACCTTAAAACCCTAAAGCCCTAAAACCCTCACACCCTCAAACCCTCAAACCCTAAAACCCTTAAACCCTAAAACCCTAAAACCCTGAAACCCTAAAACCCTAAAACCCTAAAACCCTAAAACCCTAAACCCTAAACCCTCAACTCCAAGGGGACATGGTGGTGGCGCAGCCGCTGGCGGGGCGAGCCCAGGAGCCCGTGGCGTGAGAGGGCATGTGAGGTCTCTTAGGGCTTTTGAGGTTTAGGGTTTAGGGTTTAGGATTAGGGTTTAGGGTTCAGGGTTTAGGGTGTAGGGTGCAGGGTTAGGGTTTAGGGTTGAAGGTTTTATGAGGGGGGGGAGAGGGGGAGGGGGAAGGAGAGGCTGCGTTGCTACGTAATACGATTGCGATGCTAAGAGTTCAACATGACGTTTCGCAATACTGATACTCTTCATACTTGCTTTAATATTGCAATGTCGCTATTGGTTTTACAATTGTCGCTCTTACTTCCTCATTTTTTGGATTCAACCGCGAGCTGGTGTACTGTTTTTTGGTATTGGTTGTTGGTTTTGCTCTTTTGTGTGCGTGTCTTTCTTCGCTCATTTTAAATAAGCGCGTTCAAGGTTGACACGACTGTTTGCCATTGTTTCTTCTTAGGCGCCAACCCCAAATCCGAATACTACACATGAGAAGCCTCGAATCTCCAATAAAGAGTTACGAAACAGACACAGACACAGACACAGACACAGACACAGGCACAGGCACAGGCACAGACACAGACACAGACACAGACACAGACACAGACACAGACACAGACACAGACACAGACACACACAGAGACACACACAGACACACACAGAGACACACACAGAGACACACACAGAGACACACACAGAGACACACACAGAGACACACACACACACACACACACACACTGTCTCTGATACTCTTTTACAGGATGTAAGCCCTGTATAAACTATATGTAAACCCTATGCAAACCCTATGTAAACCCTATGCAAACCCTATGAAAACCCTTTGTTAACCCTATGCAAACCCTATGTAAACCGTATGAAAGCCCTATGTCAACCCTCTGTAAACCCCTGAAACCAGGAGCTGAGAGGGTACCTCCAGCGCCTGCGGCGCGAAGCAACCGGACTCGGGTCACCGCTGGCGCCCGAGGCGGGGCTGAGGGCCTTTGAGGATCTTTTGAAGGGTTATTACGGTTATTCCAACGGGATATTTTAGGGTGTTTCGGGTGTTTTGTTAGGGTTCTGTTTCGTTTTTTTTGGGGTTGCTAGGGCTTACGAGTCAGAATTCTAGAGCTCTAGACCTCTAGAGATAACCCTAAACCCTAAGCCCTACACCCTAAACCCTAAACCCTAAACCCTAAACCCTAAACCCTAAACCCTAAACCCTAAACCCTAAACCCTAAACCCTAAACCCTAAACCGGGCTTTGGGCTTCAGGGCTCTGGGGCTTCTGGGTATTTCGTGCAAGCACAGGATCTGCCAAGCTACACGGCTTTGCTTGAGGAGCGCTTTGAAGCACCTCGGCCTGGGGACCCCTAGGGTTTAGGGTTTAGGGTTTAGGGTTTAGGGTTTAGGGTTTAGGGTTTAGGGTTTAGGGTTTAGGGTTTGGGGTCCAGGGTGTGGGGTTTAAGGTTTTAGGAGGAACCCTTAGACCACAAAACCAAAACTCCAAGGCCCACCTCGACCCTCCTTGGAGGTTCATGGCAGTATTAGTAGGGTAATAAGTAGGGTATGGGTTTAGGGTTGAGGGTTTAGGTTTTCGGGTAAGTAGCTATACCCTTACACCCTAAGCCTCAGCTGAATATTCTGCCGTCCTCGCTCGAGCCCGGAGTGCGCAAGGACGGCAACAACGATAAATATTTTCGTGGAAGAGCGAACCGAATAGGATTCAAAGGATATTTCTTAATTTCGGATGTTAGTGGCTAAGGGAGATTCCCCGAAGTCTAGTTGCTTAGGGGCTGTGGGTTTGGGGGCCTGGGTGAACCCCACCCCCTGGCCCCCACCTCCACCCCAGAAAAAAGGGAGAGGGAGTATAGACTTTCACATAAACGTACACAGCAGGCCTCAACACTTTTGGGAGCAAATTTAAACCCCAAACATCCCCAGACAGCCTCAGCAATGCACCTCACTCAAGATCCCTGAATCACAAAAGCCCACACCTCAAACCCTACACCGCCAACTCTGTACGTCTTACGCCGACGCTGTCGGAACCGAAAGCAGGCCCTTGCGCACAGTATCTGGAAGGGAAGAGAGCTGCGGAAGCAAAACGCAAGGCCCCACATCAGGTCAGCAGGGTTCTCACTCGCCTTCGTCAGGCTTTAAGAAGTTTAAAGGTCTTTGCTTGGGATGTTCCCCCTTATACTCACAGTCCTTGAGAGCAAAATTGTAGTACCCCCTGTTAGAATCCCCATGAAGGGCTGTTTGTATATGGTTTAACATCCCAAGGCTTTTGCCTTAAATTCGCGGCCCCGGCCCCCTAATGAGTTGGCTCTCCTAGGAAGTTTGAAGGTTGTTCATCAGGGTTTAGGCTTTAGCGTTTAGGGTTTAGGGTTGAGGGTTTAGGGTTTAGGGTTGCCCCAAGCCCTACAGCCTCGCCTTTGGCTGCTGAGTCCTCCTCCACGGCAGTCGTGCTGGGCAGTGCCGAGGTGCCAGAGAGCCTGGCGACTTGTCCTACTTGGTAGCCCAGTGGTACCCTTTTCCCTTTTTTTGGTTCAAGTTTCCCTTATAAATTAACCAACCAAACAAGGGTGCCCTTATTGTAAAATGGTTACTGGGGTACCAAGTCCTACTTGGCACCTTGTAAACTTCATTCCCAGCCAGCCCTAGATCTACCGGATCTACCGATTGCTTAAGAACCCCTCCAAAAATCAAAAATGTTCTTCCTTATAAGGGTAATATAGGATTCTTATTTCTTTGGGGGGGGGGGGTTCTTAACTAAGAATATAGTAGGGATCCAGAACAACCCTAAGCCCTTTATCCAAGAGCTCGGTTCCCCCGCAAGCATTATGAAAAGAGGGTTCGCGTACTTCCTTGTCGGCAAGGTTAGCTAGCATGAGGGTTTAGGGGCCCTAAACCCTGAACCCTAAACCCCAAACCCTAAACCTGAAACCTGTAAAGTAAACCCTAAACCCCGAGAAGCCCCGAGCGTTCCGTCGGTAAGGAACCCTAAAACCTAAACCCTAAACCCTAAATCCTAAACCCTAAACCCTAAACCCTAAACGCCCAAGGCTCTGGGCAGTGATGCATACTGTGGGCCGAATGGCTTGTGCGACGCACCGCAACTTGGACTAGGGGTTTAGGGTTTAGGGTTTAGGGTTTAGGGTTTAGGGTTTGAGGTTTAGGGTTTGGGGTTTAGGGTTTAGGGTACTACATTGCTTGGAGGTTCATTTGGGAACTTATACTTCTAAGTAGGGTAACTATGGTTTTGGAACCATATTTAGGGTACCTATAGCCCCACTTACAAGTACGCAAAGGAACCTCCAAGTAGGGTTGCCCTAAACCCGAAACCCTAAACCCTAAACCCCTATAGGGATGCAGGGCCCAGGATATCTTAGAGCTTTTCGGCTTGGGGCTTGGGGGATGTTTCGAGCTTGAGGTTTGGGCCTGGAACTTGCACTACGAATTGCTTAAGAACCCCCCCCCCCCCAAAAAAAAAAAAAAAAAGAAGTATTCTTCCTTAGAAGGGTAATACAGGGATTATGACTTTTTTCTGTTTTTGGTCGGTTCGGAAGCAACTAGTGCAAAGGACAAGGGAAAAAAAGCCCCAACACCTGAGACCCCCTAAGCCCTACGCCCCTAAACTTGGGATGTTCCCCTTACAATTGTAGTACCCCTCGTGCCCCTCCCCGTTTAATAATCCCTATGAAGGGCTGCGAGTCTATAGGGGGAACATCTCAACCCTAAACCCTAAACCCTATTTCCTAAACCCTACGCCCTTATACCAAAACCTTCGCTGCCTCCGCTCATTCCGGGGGGCCTTAGACCCCTGAACCCTAAGAGCTCTAAGCCCTAGAACCTCAGAAGTCCCCTAGGGTTTAGGGTTTAGGGTTTAGGGTTTAGGGTTTAGGGTTTAGGGTTTAGGGTGATCACTCTAAGGGTAGTTTCCTGGGCCCTCAATGTGCTCCCTTTACCCCCTTAAAAAGGGTTCTGGAGGTTGGGCCCCTCGGGTTGTATCGGGCATAGAAGGGGTGTAGAAGGGGTCCTCTTTTCAGGGCCCATATGAAGGGACCGTGTAACTACCCTAAACCCTAGCCCTTGACCCTAAACCCTAAACCCTAAACCCGAAACAGGGACCATGGAGCTACCCTAAGATGGACCCAGGGCCAAAAAAGAGCCAAAGCCCCTCAGCAGCTCCTTCGAACCACTCGGTGGGCAGCTTCAGACTTGAGGCATGCCCTAAACCCTAAACCCTAAACCCTAAACCCTAAACCCTAAACCCTAAACCCTAAACCCTAAACCCCCCCCCTCCCCCTTTGGGTTCCCAAGTTCGATCATTGTGGCTTTTCAAGCCATAATTACCGGTAGATGGGACAGATCTCGCATCCTTTTATCGCCGTGTGCAACTCTGGACCCAAAGACTGGTAGCCCTAAACCCCAAACCCTAAACCCTGAACCCTAAACCCGAAGCCCTAAACGCTAAACCCGAAACCCTAAACCCTAGCAACAATACTATGAAGCTGAGGAGCTTGGAGCCCGAGGAGGAGGTGGCAGAGGCTGAGGAGGCGACCACCACCTTGGGCTCCATCTGCTGTCTTAGGGTTTAGAGTCTAGGGTCTTCGGGTTTCGGGTTTAGGGTTTAGGATTTAGGGTTTAGGGTCTGGGAGTTTAAGGTTTAGGGTTTTGAGGGTGCAGGGTTGATCCTTTTCTGGATCTTTCCTTGCAAAAATGCACCAAAAATGCAGAAAAAAAACAAGCAGAGGCTTGAGATAACTTTTGGCATGCCAGATCAGGTCAGATAGATGGGGATTTTGTGAAGCCTTCTCTGTCTCAAGCTGTCAGTGTGTTGTAGCACTTCCTTGCTGGAGATGCCGCGATCCGTCACGAGCTATGGTACCAACAGCCAGGGCAACAACTACTGCTCCTACTCGGACGGGTCCTACTCCTACAGCAACAGCTACAACTCGAATGGGTCGTCCCAGAGCTCCAGCTACTACTACTCCAACACCGGCAATGGCCATGGGTTCTATACCTCCAATTCCGGCTCTTCCAGTGGCCAGTACTCTTCGCACACGAACTACGGCACCGGTACGACCACGACGCGCAGCAAGTGAGACGTGAGAGGGCTTGGCAGCTGTGTCACAGGTCTAGCTTGTCCTGAGCAAATGGCGCCATATATCGGGGGCCAACGCTGCCTGGGGAAATGGCAGCGGCACAGTCGTAGGAGGCTCCGTGCCAAGAAGCGCCGGATGATAATCGCACCGACGTCGGAAAACCTGAGTCTTGCTAGAACCCATGCTTGCCGAAGTGTCTGCGGCCCCTCGCATCCTCAGCCACAATTCTTACTGACGCGGGGGCTTGAAGGTATTGAAGGCAGTCCTAAACCCTAAACCCTAAACCCTAAACCCTAAACCCTAAACCCTAAACCCTAAACCCTGAACCCTGAACCCTGAACCCTGAACCCTAAACCGTGTCGAAGTGAGTTGTTGGTGCAAGCTCAGGTTGCAGGTGTTCATGGCAGGGTCTCCGTCAGAAGCCCTTCTCAGTCCTAAACCCTAAACCCCAAAAAATCCTCAAACCCTACCACCCCAACCCTGCAGCCCTGCTAAATCCTAAGCCCTAGGCGGACCCAAATTTAGGGTTTAGGCTTTAGGGTTCAGGGTTTAGGGTTTAGGGTATAAACCTCAAACCCAACCACCCCAACCCTGTAAGACGCTTGGCGCCAGGAGCGGCTGCTCTTGGTGGCGAAGTGCGATGGGGTGCTGAGCGCCTTGCTGGACGAGCCAAGAGGCCTGTCGGACGGTGCTGTCGCTGCAAGCTCCCTAAACCCTAAACCCTAAACCCTAAACCCTAAACCCTGGAGTAATAGGACCTCCAACACCCCCCAAAATCCTGAGCCTTGCAAGCTTTTCCTAGTGAGGGTTTTGCCGGCATCTTTGTTCAGAGTTCAGGTGTCGGGTTGGCACCGTTGGGGTGGTCAAGGTTGGGTGAGTTGAGGGTCAAGGGTTTAGGGTTTAGGGCTTAGGGTATAGGGTTTAGGGTTTAGGGTTTAGGGTTTATTTTGTTCGGCCACGTTTTCTTACAGTGTTTCTAGGGCAACAGGGTGCAGAGACACTAGTCTATGGGCTCATGTGGATCAGCTTAGGGTGCGCGCTATGCCCTAAACACTGAGAGGTATCGCTGAGGGCCTCTTCAGCGAGATCTGGCGCGACGAGGATCAGCGCGAGGTGGTCTGACACCCTAAACCCTCAACCCTAAAGCCTGAAACCCCAAACCCTGAAACCCTAAACTCTAAACCCTAATCCCTAAACCCTAAACCTAAACCCTCAACCCTCAACCCTAAACCCTAAACCCTAAACCAACCTCAATCAAATCAAGCCCAAAGCCCCAAGAAGCCCGACAAGCAGGGGTTTCAAGTTTGATTTCCCTTAGCCCTCAACCCAGAATCCCCTTCTTCGAACCCGATTTGGAGGTTCATGGGTACTGAAAAGGTAGGCTTATAGATGCCCTTCATAAGTACTCATGAACCTCCAGCTAGGCTTTATTTTGCCTAGTGTGAATTTGTTTGAGAAAGGGATGAATATGAAGTTCCCGAAGGTGCACGCAACAAGCGCGCACCACACTACCCTCGTGCTCCGTTGTAGTTGCCGGTTCTGTTTGCGTTTTGCTTTTAGTTTTGTTCGTTTCTGGGGTTTCGAAAAGTATCGAAACAAGTAACGACCACTTCTGCTGGGAACGCATATGTTACAAGTCTCTTACTATACAAGTTCCCCCACCAAACCTAAACCCAAAACCCAAAACCCTAAACCCTACATCCCCCCAAAAAGACCATGCAGCTGTCCTTCACTTGCGAGCTCGGTCCAGGCGGTCCTGACACGCTTCGCTGCAGCGTGGGACGAACGCTACGCAGCCCGCGCCATTCGACCAAGCGATGGTGGTTCAGGATGTAGGGCTGAGGGTTTCAGAGTTCAGGGTTTAGGGCTTAGGGTTTAGGGCTTAGGGTTTAGGTATAGGGTTTAGGGTTTACGGTTTAGGGTTTAGGGTTCAGGGTTTAGGATGTATAGGGCTTGGGTTTCAGAGTTCAGGGCTTATGAAAGGTTCGTGGGGGATATCCCTGTGTCTTCTTCGTTGGGCTTCAGCCTGTCGGATACCGTAACGATTTCTCCAAGTATTTTAGTTTCCGTGCGAATAGGGATGGGAAGTCAGCGACCAGTCTTGGTAGCTGTTTAGGTATTTTGTGTTTAGGGTTTCTTGGACCCTCCTCCTCTCTACAAGTTGAAACCCCAAAACCCCCAAACCCTAAACCCCTAGACTTCTAAACCCAAACACCCCAAAACCCCTAAACCCGTAAACCCCAAAACCCCTGAACCCCTAAACCCCTGAACCCCTGAACCCCTGAACCCCTAAACCCCTAAACCCCAAAACCCCTAAACCCCTAAACCATAAAACCCTAAACCCTAAACCCTAAGCCCCAAAGTAAACACTCAGGTCAAGAGCCTCTTCGAGGTCAGCGCGGACGCCCGGGAGGCGGCTTGGGCCTCCCTGCAACGGGCGCTGCGCCTGGGCTGAGTTTTTTTGGTCAAAGGCAGCTGCCTAGGGTTTAGGGGTTTAGGGGTATAGGGGTTTAGGGGCTACGGTTTAGGGTTTAGGGTTTAGGGGTTACAACGAGCCAGTACTTAGTAGCTGAAGGAGTACACTTTGGACTTGGGGATACTATAAATCCCCTGTAAAACTGAAAGTGTACACTTTTCTGGGGCTTAGGAACTCAGCAACTGAGAGTAATAAGGTGCTGCAAGTCCTAGGCACGACCGATGAGGTCCTTGGCTTATTAGGGCTTTTAGGGTTTTGTAGGGTTTTAGGGATGAGGGCTTTGCGGTTCAGGGTCTAGGGCTTTTGGGGTTTGCAGGGTTTTAGGGCTTTACGGTTTAGGGCTTCAGGGGTTTTTAGGGTTTGGAGGAGTTTAGGGTTTTAGGGCTTCTTCAGGGTATTAGGGTTTAGGGTCACGGGCTTTGAGGGAATCCTAGGGTTTATATCAGATCATGCCCCCGAGGCCTGGATGTTTACCCTGCTTGGGCGAAGCCCTCAGAAGCCCGTGAACCCTCAACCCTAAACGCCAGACCCCAAACCGTAGACCCTAAACGAACCCCGAAAACTGAGGCCACGACATTCTTTACCACATAGCCCCTTATTTTGGTCGCTTGATGTTAAGGCCCTCAAAGTGAGGGAATGGGGTACACTTTTAGGCTATATTATAGAAAGGAGTATCAGCCCCCGGCAGGCTTTTCAACCTCCTGGATGCCGCGCCCTGGATGACATGGATTTGGCCTTTTTGGGTTCGCATGGTTTAGGGCCTTAAACCCTTAAAGGCCTAAACCCTTAAAGCCTTAAGCCCTGAATTCCCTAAAACCCTTAAATCCTTAAACCGCTAAACCTTCAAACCCCTAAATCCCGAATTCTTAAATCCTTAATCGACTAAACCTTCAGACCCGAAGCCCTGAAACCCTAAGCCCTAGGCAATGACCTAAACCCTAAGCGGGCCTCGGGTTTCGGAGATGATCGACCGCAAGAACTCAAAACCTGAGTCAACTATATACTTAGTGTTATGGGTTTACTGCTTTTTCCCTGAACCCCAAACCCTAGACCCTAAACCCTAAACCCTGAACCTGCAAAGATGGTCAGGCTACAACCTCCGAAGGGTTCGACAAAGAAATGTGGCCAATGCGCCAAGGCCAAGCCCGTCGAAGAATATAGAAATGTGGCCAATGCGCCAAGGCCAAGCCCGTCGAAGAATATATAGAAATGTGGCCAATGCGCCAAGGCCAAGCCCGTCGAAGAATATAGAAATGTGGCCAATGCGCCAAGGCCAAGCCCGTCGAAGAATATATCCCTGACATGGCCAACTACAAAGATTACTTCGGCGATGACAGAAGCCTCCTCAGGGTGTCCAAGAACCAGGGCTGCAAAGATGAGGTTCAGAAATTGAAAAAGCAGGAGCCGAAGTTGTGTGAAGGCCAGAGACGATGTGGGAGGAGGAGTACTACGAGTTTGCCAAGTCGGCAAAGGCTGGTTACTTGTCGCTGCCAGAACGGGAGAAGAAGTGGCTAAACCCTAAACCCTAAACCCCAAACCCCAAACCCCAAACCCCAAACCCTAAACCCTAAACCCTAGGATTCCACTTCAAGCTTTTCCAAGTTTTCAACTCTCGAACCCTAAAGCCTTAACCCCGTCTTAAAAAGGGAACCGCCCATGCACTCTCATCTCACCTTGCCATAAGACCCAACCCTTATAACCCCCCCCCTTGTTTAGTCCAGGAATGGACAGAATGCACATAAACCCCTAAACCCTAAACCCCAGTTTAAGCTCCTAAACCCTAAGTGGCTAAAGAACCCTTGCAGCCGAGGTGCTGAGTAGGCGAGACCCTACACCTGGGACCGCCCAAGCCCCAAAGCGCCTGCACCCCGAACCGCCGAACCTACAAACTGCCTAAGTGGCCCTAAACCCTAAACCCTAAACCCTAAACCCTACACCCTAAACCCTAAGCCCTAAACCCTAAACCCTAAACCCTAAACCCTAAACCGCCTAAGCCTAAACCCCAGACTGCCTGAACCCTCTATCGACACCGCCTCTCAACCCGAAGCCATTCAAGGCCGAGGCAGCCCACGAGTCCATCGAAGTGGAGACACAGCACAACTACAAGCGCCCAGGCTGCGGTCGTGCGCGCTGTCGTTTTTTTTTTTTTTGATTTGGCTCTTTTTTTTTCGGGGTGGGTGGGAGGGGGGGGGAGGGAGAAGGAGGGCATGTTTTTCACTTTTTTGTTTGGCGGGGTTTGGGGGGGGGGGGAGGGAGGGCCTTTTTCTCACATTGTTGTTTGGCGGGGTTTGGGGGTTGGGGAAGACAGGGGAGTTCGGGTTGCGGCGTTTGGGTGGCTTCAGGAATACGGATTCCGGCTTCCCCGGCATCATCTTTGCACTCGAGCGAGTAAACTTGAACAACTTTCATCTAGAAAGTAGGTCAAGCATTGCTGTCTTCTACGAGTCAAAATTGGGATGCTCCCCCTTTTACTAACAGTCCTTAGTAGGGACTATAGTACTCCCCAAAATAGTCTCACTAAGGACTGCTATTATACGGGGGAACACCCGAAAGTCAAAAACTCTGGCGACTGTAAGCTCCAAACTCTTGTGCCTTAGCACATTCTTCCCGACGCCTTCAACCCCAAACCCCCAAAATCCGCCCGCACCCAGTCTCCAGGCAGGACAAAGGTCTACGGCAGGTTCACCCTAAACCCTAAACCCGAAACCCTAAACCCAGGTGGGTACTTGCCCTGGGCATGGATCGACTAGGACCCAGAGTAGGCCCCTATTCATTTTCTTTGTTTTTGGTCTGGGTTCCCTTTTCAGCCCCCTGGTTTAGTCCTAGGCTACTCTTGGGTCTAGTAGACCCTCAACTTAAGGGGAGGGACCCCTAGAAGGGACCCTGAATCCTATTCCCCTAGATCCCTTACATATACCTTTTCTAGTCCCTATATAGCTAGCCCCTACAAAAGCCCCAAAAACCCCGAAGGTCCCTTATAATGGTGCCACTACAATCGTAAACCCTAAACCCCTAAACCCTAACCACTAAACCCTACAAAGCCCTAAGCCTCTGGAGTCCCCCCAATAAAAGCTTCTGCACAGCCAAGGTGCCACCAGAGCGTGGTCTTCAAAGTCCTAAACCCCTGAACCCTAAACCCTCTAAAGCCCTAACCCTACAAAATCCCTCTCAAACCCTAAACCCTAAACCCTAAACGCCCCTCCACAGCCAAGGTGCCACCAGAACGTGGTCTTCAAAGTCATGTGCCGCTCAGCGTCCCGACTGCGTCTGACCTTCGACGGCCAGTGCCAGACGAGCGAGCAGGCGACTTTAGGGTTTGGGGTTTAGGGTTTAGGGTTTAGGGTTTCTAGGCAGCAGGGTATAGTGCTTAGAGGCTTAGAGCTTAGGGATTGGGGTTTAGGGTCAGGTGTTTTTTGAGGTCTAGGGTTTCAGGTTTCGGGTCTACGGAAATTGTGGGATTCTGGGGTTTTAGAGTGTTCAAGGGCTTCAAGAAAGTCGTCTGGTACCGTGATTATGGGGTCAAGTCCTAGATTTTTGCGTAGTCGAGGGCACTCAAGAACATAGGGGCGTCTGGGGGTTTACGGGGTAATGTTGAGGGTCACTAGCCGCCTACTGCTAAACCCTAAATCGCTGTTCTTGCAAGTTGTCGACAGCTGGAACGATAGTTGACCCTTTTGTTCGTTCTAGGTTTTTCTGAACTATCCACAAAGCATACCCTTGGAATATGGGGGCTACTAAGCTTAGATTATGAAGTTGCCGCAAAGTCTGTGAGGTATGGTTCTGCCTGTAGAGAAACCGACCTCTTATATGGCAAAGGCAAATGCGAGGTGATGGTGTTGCGCTGTAACGTGCTGTACTTAAACCCTAAACCCTAAACCCTAAACCCTAAACCCTAAACCCTAAACCCTAAACCCTAAACCCGAAAAGAGTCTTTTAGGGGCTACAAGTGTCAGGATGCTCTGTCGATCTTCGCCGACGCCAAGCTCAGCCGCATCTTGTCTGGCTTTGGGGTGTAGGGTTTAGGGTTTAGGCTTTAGGCTTTCGGCTTTCGGCTTTCGGCTTTAGGCTTTCGGCTTTAGGCTTTAGGCTTTGTCGCTGTAGGCTTGAGGCTAGGGGCTTTAGGCTTGAAGCTTTCGGCTTTCGGCTTTAGGCTTTCGGCTTTAGGCTTTAGGCTTTGTCGCTGTAGGCTTGAGGCTAGGGGCTTTAGGCTTGAGGCTTTGTGGCTTTAGGCTTGAGGCTTTAGGCTTTAGGCTTGAGGGTTAGGCTGAGGGGTTGGCGCCTTGGGGTGTGGTTGCGGGGCCACATCTCCTACCGAGTAAAGTGCGCCATCTTTGCTAGACACGCTTGGAGGGCTTGACCCCTTCAAACCCAAGGGCAGGTGCTTTCGGACTACATCGGAAGATGTTGCATCTGGGTGATTAGTCAAACCCCTAAACCCTAGACCTTAAACCCTAAGCCCCATATAACTCCTGTAAACCCTAAATCGTCATTTCTGACGGCGCCTTGTTTCATCCCATGACCTGCCCATGCTTGAGTAGTGGTCTGGATGTGGAGTTGCAAGTCCATCTTAGGGTTTAGGGTTTAGGGGGGGGTCTTTCCTAGCCACGCGCGCAATAATTCTGATCAGGGTTACAAGGGTTGGTCGGGGTTCGAATTTACGATGGGCTGTAGGGTTTAGAGCATGTAGGGGTGAATGTAACCAGAATGGGGCAGTTCATACTGCACGTCTAGAGGTGTTGTACAGGGATGACCTTGGCAATTCTGTACGCCCCTCTCATGAATTTAATGCTGACAGTTCAGGGCCTAGTTTCTTAAATGCTTGAAGCCTCAGGGTCAGTGGGGCTTTCAGGTTACAGTTAGGGACCCTAAATCCTGAACCCTGAACCTAAAAAGTGTGCCCAGACTCCCGTTTTGAACCCGCCCCCCCCCCCCCCCCCCCCAACCCCCCACCCCAAACCCCAAACCCCAAACCCCAAACCCCAAACCCCAAACCCCAAACCCCAAACCCCAAACCCCAAACCCCAAACCCCAAACCCCAAACCCCAAACCCCAAACCCCAAACCCCTTGACTTGTGAGTGGGGAGCTCTTTCAGTTCAGTGAGCGCCTCGTAAGGGGTTGACGGAGGCAAAATGCAAAAGTCCGACTCATCTTCAAAAAAAAACCAAACCCCAAACCCCGAACCCCAAACCCCAAACCCCAAACCCCAAACCCCAAACCCTAAACCCTAAACCCTAAACCCTAAACAAACCCCCGCCGGTGGTGGGCTCGGAGCCCCAGGAAAGCTGGCTGTTTGCTGTGGCAAGCAGCCAGGCTTCGGAAGTGCCGCTGTCTCAGTGTGGGCGCGCTTGTACGTCCTAAGCCTGAACCCAAAGATGCCCGTTTAAGGTTTGGGTTTAGGGTTTAGGGCAAGTTTAGGGTTTCGGGTTTACGGATTAGGGTTTAGGGTTTAGGGGAATTTGAATGATGTACGCCAGTTTAGCTATGAAGTTATGCAGGTGTGTTTTCACTTCTTTCCTGGGAGCAGAACTGCTAATGTAGGAGCTGCGGTGTACCATGAACCTCTCGGTTGAAGGTTCGGGCTTACTTGAAAGTTCAGGGTACTTGTGACCCCAACTACAACTGTCGATCGGGTTCCGAAAACGTGCCAAAACTCGAGTTTTAGTACTCGGACGTTCGAAGTTCATTTTTGTTTTGATCCTTTTGTTATTTGATCCTGGGCTGCTTGTTTTTTTTGATACGTTTTTTTTGTTGATCCTGCAGCCGTTTGACCGCCTTGAGCTCCCTGAAAAAATCGAATCCCCTCAAGCCCCCCTAAGCCCTCTTAAAACCCCAAACCCTAAACCCCTAAGCAACCCTAAAACCCCTGAATCCCCTGAAAAAACCCGAACCCTATACCCTAAACACATCTTGAAACCCTCTGCCCCTCAAACCCTCAGGTGGTCCCCTCAAAACACTAAACCCACACCCCTAAAGCCCCTTAAGAGTTTTCAACCCTAAATATTAAACCCCTGAACCCGAAACCCCTTACTAGTCTAAAGCCCCTTAAGACCCCAAACCCTCAGCTCTTAAACCCCTAAAACCTTGCCCCCTAGAAGCCCTCAGGTGGTCCAGGTCTACGGAAACGCGGCGTGGTTCGTCTGGCGGTCGGGCAGCGACCGCAGGCGAAGTGACCGAGACACGGGCCACTGGGGGTGGCCCGCCTGCAGAAGCAGTGGGTTGATAGGGTTTACAGGATTTTTTGGGTTTAAAACATTTAGGGGTTAACAGGGTTTACAGAGTTTGCAGAGTTTACGGGGTTTATGGGGTTTATAGGGTTTCGGGTTTAGAGTTTTGGTTGTAGGGCCTGAGGGAGTTGGGGCATTGAGGGTTTTCAGTTTTCAGGCTTAGGGTAAGGACAACTTGTGCGTCCAAAAGCGGGGTCACAAGTTAACTAAACCCTTAACCCTACACCCCCTAAACCCTAAACCCTAAACCCTAAACCCTAAACCCTAAACCCTAAGCCCACCCGCCTTTCGGGATCACGTCTAGGGGTGAGGTTGGTGAATGGCGGCTTCCGTGTGGCTGATGCTTCGGGAATTTGATGCTACACCCGGGGGATCTCGAGACTTAAACCTAACTTGCCGGTTTAGGGGTTTAGGGTTTAGGGTTTAGGGTTTAGGGTTTAGGGTTTAGGGTACATATACATAACCCCAAGGGTCCATGTACCTTATGATTATCTACTTGGGCCCAAAGTCCCTATGTCAGAGGTACTTTAGGGCCCAAGTATTCCTTGTTTAGGTACATGGACCCTTAGGCGTACAGTAAGTGGGGTTATGAGTTGGATAGTTATGGCCTTATGTAGTGCATACGTACGGGTGAGCCTCCAAGAAAGAGCCTCCTGCGTTCACCCGTAATCTGGCCCGTGGCAAATCTGGGTTACCACCATGGCAGCAGGCGGCTCAAAAGGCGTAGGGCTTTGCGGTTTAGGGCTTAGGGTTTTTAAGTTTAGGGTAGGGTTTGGGGTTTAGGGATATTTGGTTGCCGACGCTAGATTTTGCTGTATGCACTTCAGCAAGCTTGCCTTTGCGCTCCCCTTACACCCCCTGTAAAAGCGTTGCGTGAGACCCGAGAGGCTTCCCTCAATCGTAGTTCCTTCTTTACCCTAAACCCTAAACCCTAAACCCTACCCTATACCCTATACCCTATACCCTATACCCTAAACCCGAATTCATGCGAGAGAAACGGTAGCAAAGGAAAGGAACTCTAAACGGATGGGTTCGGGTTGGCTTCTTCGGGGTCAGATAAACCCTTAAGGTGGGTCCAGAAATCGAAGGCCCAGGGCTTTTCAATCAATATTGTGGTCAGGATAGGATTAAATCTCAAGGACCCAAGACTCCCAAGACACGAAGCCCTAAACCCTAAATCCAAGTACAATTCAAGCCATTAGGGAAGCCATTAAGGGCCATCTCGTAGCCCCTCCCTAAACCCCACACCCTAAACCCGAAACCCGAAACCCGAAACCCTAAGCTGAGGTGGCGGATGATGGTGGATGTTGCTGCGGCCTCGGTGTTTATCGAGTTGCACGTGTCCGGGTTGCGAAGGTTTGATTCCAAGAGGCGCATTTGGCGGAAGCATCCTGAAACGGAAGACGAGTAA